TTCCTGCTCACCCCTCCTCTCTCCCAGCCCTGGGAGCCCCTCTCCTCCCCTGTACACTTCCCTAGGACATCCTGGGAGAGGTCCGTAAGGAAGGCAGACCAGACGGACAGGGGGCAGAAAGGGACAGAAGACGCATGCAGAAATAACGAGGAAAACCGGGAGAAGCGCCAAACGATGGAGAGACACAAATCAGAGACTGAGATAAACAGAGAGAGACGGAGACACACACACACACACACACACACACACACACACACACACACACACGGCTCAGGAGAGAGGGACCGAGAGCACTGGGAGGTGGGCAGACTCGGAGGAGAGGACCGGGCCGGGTAGGGGGCAGTCATGGGCTGCAGGGACTGAGGAGACAAAGGGGAGCTCTGGGCCGGTCGCCCCACTGCTGCCGGAAGGGCTGAGGAAGGAGCGGCTGGGACCATGGCACAGGCTCGGGGCCGCGGGCCACGCCTGCCACAAAGCCCCATTGTCCTGCCCCTTTCCCCAGCCTGGGGCAGGGGCGGGCCGCCCAGTGACACACGCTTTGTCGCAAGCTGGCTCCTCGCTCTCCTGTCGACAGGAGGTCGACAGCAATCGCAGAGGGACTTACAGGCCAGTGAGTCACCGACCCCCCTGACCCTGGGCCTGAAGGCCAGCACGCACCATCGCACCATCGCAGCTCCCTGGTGCTCACACGGGGAGGGGCGAGTCCTGGCCGGGGCACGAGTGCCGAGCCCGGAGACGGGCATTCCCATCCCAAGGCGCTTTCATTTCTCAAGGACCTAGAAATCTAATCTGAGAACCAACTCCCGTCTTCCTAACCCCAGCCCAGGGGTCCAGGCCCCAGCCCTTCCTCCCTCAGATCCAAGAATGCAGCCCCAGCTCCTGGTTCCTGAGACCCAGGGTGCAGGCCCAGCTCCTCCTCCCTCAGACCCAGGAAGGTGGTTATGGGGTGTCATTACACTCAGGAACCCGGGCTCCCTCCAGGGTCAAGGGGTCATGAGGAGGAGAGCCGTGGGGGCAGGAGGAATGTGTGTGGGAGGCCTAGGTGAGAAGGGAAGGGTGGGGCCAGTCTCTGGCTCCAGGAACCGGGGAGACACAGGGTTAAAAGGAAGGGCCAGGAGTACCTGGGGGCAGACCCAGCCTCTTCCCAGGAGGCCAGGAGCCGGGGGTGTCCGTGCAGCTGTCCACGCAGCCCTGCACCCTCCGTTCTTCTTGTTCCGACCCGAGGCACCCTCTTTCTCGGCCCTCCTCCGCAGTACTCCCTGCGCCTGACCCTGCTGCCTGGGCAGTCTTGGGCGTCCCTCCCCACAGCCCGAGGACCCCTTGGCCAAGAGGCAGCTGGCCCAGCAGGTAAGTCCGCATGGCATCCCAGAACCTCCAGGTGTGGGGCGGTGCCCTGAGCTCTGAGCCCAGATGCAGGACAGTCTCAAGAGGAGGAGGGGTGTGAGGGGCCCCTGGGCTCACCCTCCTGCTGCTGGGGCGGCAGAGCAGAGCCGCAGAGGCTCCCCCAGTCCCGAGGTCACTGTGCTCCCGGTGCCACCTGCCTGCGGAGGACAGGGCTGGGGAAAGGAGGAGCCAGGTTAGGTGGGTCGGGGTGAAGGGAGAGCAGACCAGGGAGGAGGAGAGGATGAGGAGGGAGCAGACGAGGGGAGGGCTGGCCCGGCTGAGGCTATCGGGGCTAGCTCACTAACCAGCCTGGCTTCCCCCCAGGATCGGCCATGAGGAAGCTGATGGGAGTGCTGGTCCTGATGGCTGCAGGTGGGAGCGGGGGAGGGCTGGGGACAGGGAGGAGGTTGGGGTGGGGGTGGCGCGCAGGCGTGGGGTGGGTGGCTTTGCAGTGAGAGTAGGCCAAGGATGGGACCCGGTGGGGAAGGGAGGCTGCAGGGGGCAGGGACGGGCCTCGGCCCAAACGG